TCAAATTTTCAGAAACAATATCATTTTGCTAAATTCATTCACAAATGTTAATTTTACAAAGTTCTCCAAAAAAAAACTGAGACAAAATCGTTCACAGCAAAACTGTGATTCTTGAGTTCAAACCATTCCATAGATTCGAATTTTTCGCCTTGCATAGAAAATCCCTTCTTATCTGCCTAAATATGGCAAGAGTCGTGTGATTTTCTTTCAAATATCCATGATATTCAACGAGAACGAAAGACGAAACACGAAGAATTCGTTGTACGAAATTTATTTTTGACAGGACAGTAAGAAAGAAAAATATAATTTCAAGTAGGTGGATATAGAAAAGTGAAACATAAATAAAATAGAGTAGAAATCGAAAATTAATCAATAACGCCATTTCCACTTGCCGTCCTCATAGTATGCTTCTCCAGAGCACATGGCTTCAAACTTCCATTCGGCCTCCGCCTCTTCCATATCTTCTTCTGTGGATTCTCTGTTTTTCCGGGCCTTCTGAAGATTTTTCTCAATTGCTTCGAGAGAATTCTGCGCTTCTTGGAAACGACGTCTGAAGGAATCCGAATAGGATCGATTGTGTATGTTTCTTCCATGCTTATGCGTTTTTTGCAAAGTTTTCAACTGTAGGATTTTGTTCTTTTGTTCTTTTTTCTGGCTCTCGAGTTTTCCGACTTCCATCGATGCCTTCCTGTGGAGCACAATAGTTTCAGCGTACTTGTTTCCGAGAGCGATGATAAGTCTCTTGAGTGCCTGCCGCTCTTTTGTAGAATATTCAGTATTTGGCTGTTTGATCGTATTGGTGACTGTTCTGACGTTAGACGTGTTAGCAGTCTCTGAAAAATTGAATAAGTTTCATTTCGTTGATTTTGAATCTCAAATGTTGAAAATTATGATTTTGAGAATAGTGATTTTCGGTTCAAAAATGTCAGTTTTTGATCAGTATATATCGTTTTTTAATTTTTTAAAATAGTTTCTGAATAAAAAATTACCTTTAGCAGTAGACAACTCGCCAAAACGGGTTGAGCGGCGTTCGCGAAGGCGGCTGGACATGTTGTCGGAGTCATGATGTTGATGGTCTAAAAAGGTTGAATTTGAAACCTTCACACTTGATTCAAACATTGTGAACAAACTATAGTGATGTTCAAAAAAAGAAACGAGTTTTTGAGAATTTTTTGGAGACGCGTAAGTCGGTTTTTTTTTGTAACTCAGATCGGAAAATAATTTTCTCTATTAAAACACTGTTGACCCCAATCTGCCCTTTTTATTACGGGTTTTACAGCATTTTCTTACCTGGAGTTTGGACTCTGTTCTCATCTGACCCGTTGTAGACAGTTTTGAATGATTTGCGGCGCTGATCCATGGTTTCTGGTGTTGATTGTTAGAAGGTATATCGAAGAAGTTAGTACTGCAAAAAAGAGTATTCACATTTCTCGTAGATTGAGAGGACAACAAAACATTTCCAAAGTAACGGATATAGGAAAAAATAAGAATAAAACTGAGAGACGGCGCTATGTGAGCAGAATGTCACAAAAAATGAGCGAATTCACTGGATAACTATACACTATATTTTTTCAGACTATCAAAATGGGGATTTTCAGAGTTTCCATGAGAAACGATGATTTCTTATTCAGCTGACAATTTTTAAAAAAAACGAAGACTCGGCGGCGGCGGAGAGAGAAATGCATAAGAGAAAACCCATGCAGGCGAGCGAAAAAAAAAGAATGACACGTCCCAATTTGGCGCGCAATACACAAAAACACACCACCGATTGGTGTGTGTGTGTGTGTGTGTTGGAGTATGCGATTGCGCGGAGGATAGGGTGCATACACAACGAAACCATTACGGACCACTGACCCTCGCCACTCTCCCCGCCCTGTGTTTATGCACTCGCAGTCCGTCTATTCTTTCTTTTTTCCGTTTTTTTGTGGTTTCAGCATGCCAACACGGGCTGTATCTTTGTATTTTTGTTGCCACAAACATGTTTCCGCCGCCGTAGAATCTTCTTTTTCTAAACTAATAAGTTTATTGGAATTTCGCAACAGCTGAATGGTCCATTTGGTTCTTAAGTCATTTCTCTGTGCGCATTTGGCAACTTACACCACCAAGTCTTCCATTCCTGAATCTATTGAGTAAATTACGGCTTTACAGTCAATTGGAAGCACCTTATAAGTTCAATAATATTTTTATATATGGGTGACCGTTTTGGTATTTTGTCACCGTTGTTAATTTGTGGAATTCGCATTATCTAAGAAAAATTTTCATTTATAGGTGTTCCGGTCTGAGTACGAAATTTTACCACGTCCGTTTCTGCTTACAATCGTTTAATTTGGGCGAACTGCGTTTGATTATTGAATGAACATTTTGCAGTAATAAACACGTGTTCACCAATTCTTCAAGGAATTTCGAACAATGGATAAACCAGTCAACAGTGGTTCAGATGTGAGCCGGGTCCAAACTACAGGTGAGACGACAGAATCATAATTTGCACAAGAACCTTGAACATATGTTTCTTTCAGATGACCATCATCACGATGTAGAGAACATGTATAGCCGCAACTGTTACCCAAATTCTGAAAGATAGAAACACTGCTAAATGCAACAGTTTTTCACAAAATTGAAAATTCGTTAAACAATCTTAAATATAACTTTTCAGATGATCAACATCATGAAGCAGACAACATTTATAAACGAGTCTATAAACGTCTCTCAAAAGGAATTGTTGAATGGTCAACTACGAACGGTAATTTTTTTTAATTTCAAAAATACCAAAAACCGATCGGAACTGAATATTTTCATCAGATATTACTCGAAGGATCATTTCAATTGAATAAATCACACTTTTTCAGAAACGACTAGCATGTCTAACGTCCAAACTGCCGCCAATACAATCGATCAGTTGAAAGCTACGAATTCTAAACAGGACCGAACCGTCAACAATACTAGCAATCAGTCAAATGCTACCAATTCTACGGAGGACCCGCTGGCTATTAAGAAAGCGATCATTGACCTCGGAAAAAAGTACGGTGAAACTATTGCACGTCACAAAAAAGCCTCCGCGGAAGTAAAAAAAGCCAAACGCTCGGAAAAAAGTCACAAAGAAAAGCTCGAAGAGTTGGTTTTGAAAAAACGGGTCTCTCAAAACCAATCGAAATGGGACTCCTACTCCCGTTGTATTCGTGAGACATTCGAGCTCATCCGTGCAAGTGAAGAAGATATCAAGAGAGCGTTGGAAACCGAGGAATCCACTAAAGATGACATGGAGACGGCTGAACCGGAATGGAAGTTTGAATCGATGTGTTCTGGAGAAGCATACTATAAGAACGGAGAGTGGAAATGGCATAATTGATACATTACTTGTTTTTCTGGTCTTTCTGATCTTTTCTCAATAATTGAGAAATA